GGACAACTGGACACAAACCTGCGTAGGTTCTATGCCGAGGCGAGGAACAAGTCCGGGGAATCCTATAGCAAATCCTCTCTCTTTGGTTTCAGGCACTCTATTGAGAGATACCTGAATGCACCACCCCTAAGCAGAGGGCTCAAACTGAGTTCAGATCCTCGATTTAAACGATCAAATGAAATGTTAAACGCTCAGATAGTCCGTTTGAAGCGCCAGGGCAAGGAAAATGTCACCCACAAGCCAGCCATAGAGAGCGAAGACTTGATTAAGTTGAAAGCCTCGCCTGCCATTGCACTGAATAATCCACTCGCCCTCCTCCGCAATGTATGGTTTCACGTTATTTTATTCTTTTGTCGGAGAGGAAGAGAAGGTCAGAGGCAGCTGAAGAAAACGAGCTTCAAGTTTGAAGTTGATGCGTTGGGAAGAAGATTTGTCACAATGGCGCATGATGAAGCGACAAAAAACCATCCCGGAAGAGTGACTGATGTATCCAGCAACGAGAAATTGGCAAGAATGTATGAAACACCTGAAGAGAACGACGGATACAAAGCTTTGAAGTTTTACATGGCCAAACTCAATCCTCGGTACGATGCTTTCTTTCAGTATCCGAGAAAGAATTCTAAGTAGAATTATGACTATAAAGTTTGGTTCGACGCCCGACCAATTGGTGGCAACAAACTCGACGGGATGATGAAAAGCATTAGTGAGAAAGCCACATAATGGCAATCTCAGGCCACCGTAGCGAACAGTCTTTTACATTACAACACGCAGCTCTCGACATCACAGCTCCGCACCTGCAGCGAAGTCCTTTCGAAAAACTTGACCTCTGACAGATCCGAATCTCTTGCCACTGTCACCGCCATAAACATACAGAAAAAAGTGCAGGAAAACGGCCTCGTTGTGTGCACTGCAACTGAGAAAACCACAAGCGGCTTCGGATCTTTCTTTAACAACTGCACCGTTCAAAATGTCCACGTCACTCTTGGATCAAATTTTAGCCACACTTGTTGACATTTACTTTTATACTGTTCTCAGTGTTAACTCAGACCGTTTTGCAATGGTCTATTTTCGGTGATCGATATTCTTTTTGAAGCATTTTGACTTATGTTAAATCTTCTCTTGCGCGAAGTGTTCGTTTTCTCAGAGAAACAGAAATTGTGGCGTGTTGTAAATTAACCAATTAAACCGCAGAGTTTCTTCAATCAGGAAATAATTGTTAAATAAAAGTTCCATTCTTGAGCTTGATTTCTTTTTTAAAAATAAAGAATTAAGTATTTAAACTGCAGTAAAATCAAGCACGAGCCTTAAACAGAAAACTTGAATTAAAAACTATTTCCTATTTTTCTTAATATTTCGCTTACCGCGAACAATCAATTCTGATATTGTCATCCGTTTTTCGTGTCAGATTTGATGCAAAATTCCACCGGCTATGTTCTAAAACAATTGGTTCATGCTTTTAGGTGTGCACTATCGAGTTATGAAGCACTTGGGAAGTTTGGAGAGCACTCAAGAAGTTAGAGTTGCCCTCGGCTATCGCCTCGGGCAACTCTTACGCTTCTTTCGTGCTCTCCAAACTTCCCGCGTGCTCCATGACTCGATAGAACACGCTAAAGCATGAACAAATTGTTAAATTGTATGAGTATGTGGCTACGCTGGTTTGGTGAGCTCTGCTCTAATAAGTTAAAATAGACGTATAGGTCGGACAAAGTTTAAAAATGATTGATGATAAATAGACTCTTCCCGCGGATAAAGTCAATTCTGTGCTCATCTGGTTTCAGCTGTTCTGTGCTTATTTTAATTAAAAGCGAAACTTGTTATGTTTGAAAACCTTTGCTCTTTTGTTTCAAAAGCCGCGATAATTTGTTTTATACGTATTTGTTTTGACCGTACGCCAAAATAATGCTTGTACTTTAAGCTTCCTGTGCGCTTGTCACGCCTTAAGTTCGGGGAAAAATTACTCCATCGTTGAAGAAGAAACTCAACTTTGAAAGGTAAATGCACACTTCCATATTATTATTTTATTATTATAAATGCACGGTGCGAGTATTGATGCGGCCTGTTTTCGCTGGTAAAATTTTCTTTGAATTTTAATTTTTTTATAAATACAAAAACAAATTAAAAACTTAAGGGCGCTTTCCCGTTTCACAGTGATAATGTTTAGAAAGTTTTGGTCTTCACACTAGCGAGTTCACCATGTTAGTAGATGAAAAACGATGAGTTCAAACCTGAGAGGTTTAAACGCGTGGTGTATACCACCTATTTTAAGAGACAGTTGCCTGAGACAGCCATTATCGTCACAAGAAACGCAACTAAGAATTAGTTTATTCTTTAGTGCAGAGCTGTGTAAAGAAAATATTTTCAGTTCTCCGGAATAAAGTATGACCGAGATTCCATTTTATGTCATAGTCGTAAATGACCTATTGTAAAGAAAGAACTGGAAGTGAAATGTTCTTTGAATTTTTATCATTAAAAGAAAAACTCAGCTTTAAGAACGTCTTTCCCATATCACTGATGACAATTTAAAGAGGCTTCGTCTTTTTACTTCCTTTTTATAATTTTGGTAAATTGAAAGCAAAAGTTTTAGGCTAAGATTTCAAAAGCGTTATGTCTACCAGTGAGTTTAAAACAATTGTTTGAGCCAGAATCTTCACTGGAAAGGTGGCTTAGAATGAATTCATTCTTTTTCGAACAGTTGTAATTGAAACAAAGTTCAGGTCTTTTGCGTCAAATCGACCGAGCTCCCATTACGTACCACTTTTCAGGAACACGAAATGACCTACTATAGAGAGAGAAGTTGGCGCGCGATGAGGATCATGTCTTGGCCATTTGAGATTTAATGGATTTGAAAAGAAGTGCGAGGCCCTTCACCCAGTTTGTTAATTTAAACACAAATAGTAGTACCTCGCCCATGTGGCGTGGTGCTAGGAACTTTGCAAATTTTAACCAAATAAAAAAACCCTAGGTGGATTGCTGGTCTGCATCTGAAATAACGTGTTGGTTTTTTCATTACCAGGATGAATGATACCTAGTATTCTGCTTGCTGCTCCAGAGTAAACAGGTATGAAGGTAATAAAACGTAAAGATGTTTTGTTTATGGGATCTAAATTTAGAATTATGCTACTTTGCTCCAAGCTGACCTTCTTGAAACAGGTATTTCGCATCTTGAAATCCAAAATTTGTCACCTAAATTAAAAGTTGAAAAGAGAAGAACAGGACAAAAACAGATCAAGACGAACCAAAGACGGAAAACGCACTTTGCACAATATTACGGGAGGTAAAATTGACCTCACCACCTGTCTTTAGAGTAAGGAATAGGACGAGACATTTGGCGACTTAATGGCTGGCAATCATTTGAGGAAGTTCTAAAAACTTCTAAAAACCTGAAGAACTAGTCTCTGTAAGATTCAAACATGTTGAGAAATTCCTCAAATTCTGCACACAGTTAGGCATCCAGAGGGGATGCACAAAAATGCCCTTTTTAAAGGTTGCCGCATTCTTGTTTCCGTGGTAATAACGGCTGCTAGTTTGCGGCCAGGGGGACTCATTTTCATACAAAAACTTCGCCAAGAAAGTATGAAATGTTCATCTCTCTATCAAATTTGTACTCCCACCATACATGGTGACATTATTTGTCTTTACTTTGATGCATTCAATTTTCGCGGCGAGTAAATGTGAACACACTAATCAATTATTTTATCTCGGTACAGTTTCAGTCATTTTCTATGTTAGGGTGAGATAGGAAGAGGGCTTATCTCAATTTCTCCAAAAGTACACCGATTCTGGAACTGACACTATGTACCTCGTTGGCTATAGTACTGTAGTTTTTAATACGTAAGTTCAAAAATCATATATCGCACAATTTGGTGATGTTTGCATCAAATGTCCTTAACAGCAAAATTTTACGACAAACGGAATGTGCATGGCTTTGAAAGAGTGTTATGAAAGAGTGTTTTAAAGAGCAATATCCGGAAGAAAATTATCGCTTCTGGCTGTCATCTTTTAAAAAATATCGATCAGCTTTCATGGAGGACTATTCGACGTAACGATAAACATTTAGCACAGGGTTCTTGCTACTTGTTTTGGATAGGAGGTAAAAAATAAGAAATAGCTGGTAACTTTGTTACCTCCCCCCCATGCTGGGGGTGTGCGGGCCACAAAAGCCCCTACTGGGGTCTATGGGTAGGCTTTCCACGTGTAGACGCCATGTGGTTAACCGTTACGTAATTCAATGAATACTGGGCCTTTTTCTTTGGTCACAAGAAGAATGGAAAGGAACATGGCGGAGGTCATTTCGCGAGGCGACAGCGAGAGATGAATTTGGTCAAAAAAGGCAAGATTTCTTCAATGTATATATAATGTATTTCCGAACTGGTAACATGTGATAGATATCTTCATAACATTAGTTGGAAGGAGACAAGTATTATTTTTCCAAAAAAAATTTAGAAAATCGGTGTAGGGCGTAAAATTAGCGTTTTTTTAAATGCCTCTTTGCTCCTAAATATTCTAAAAAGGTAGCCAATCCCAAAAAGTTGGTCGCCATTTTTTATTTCTAAAGACATTGAACTAGATAGACCTTCCAAAATTATAAAATTAAATACACTGTAGTTGCTCAGCAGCAATAAAATTCAAAGAATCTTGAAGACCTTTCTTTTTATCAAGGATAAATTGCTCCTTATACAGTCATCATGGAACAAACTCACCTGCTTCAAGATATTTATACATATTCAATACCCAGCCATTGCACTGCTGAAAATAGATATCAAGTAACAACTGAGTGAACAATCACTTCATCAAGAAATACGTGGAAACATTTTCTCTTTGTTTATTTCTCTGCTTATCGAGCAATATGAAAAAAGGCCTCTAATACCGTGAACTTTCAAATGAACATTTAAACCACGAACTTGATGGTCTGCAATGCCTGTTGCGGCTGATCGACGCACGGCCGTCGCCTGGGTTGCTGTACGGGACTTTTAAGTTTTCGTGCATGCGCGGTAGCGGCCTCTTCGAACAGTGCCACGAGGCTACCGAATCAAAACCTCTCTCTATTTATCTCTATATTTCGTTCAGTGTCACGATTTTATGGTATTAAAGTTGCGTTAAGGATTGTAACGTTTAGGGTGAGTTTTCTCAAAGCCTTCGTGAAGGTTTCATTTTACACGGTTTGTCACCGTTCGCGGCAACAGTTTCAACCCGCCCTCAAGGACGTTTTTCTACGGATTATGGTTTAACCTGCACGGATAACTGTGGTTCACTCAAATTTTCGGCGGGTTTCCGACGGATTTATGGTTGTCAAGGTTGACTACGGATATGGAAAAAGTCAACAGGAAATCTTCGGTTTGTTTTGAAGAGGTCAGTTTCGAAGTGTCGCGTTCACCTTCGTCTTCAATGGATACGGAATTATTTCGTGTTATATCACCAGTTAGCTTCTCAAGTTCAGTACCAGCTCCAATGTCACTCCATGTAAGCTCTACTCACATGTATGTATCAAGGTCACAAGGTCCCCCTCATGCAAATCCCCTCGCAACATATACAATAAAACAGAAAGGACCCCTGTACAAGACCCCGATTATGGCATGTACATCAGCAGATGAAGCGTTCTTCCTTGAAACCTCTAGAGGCATTGCAAC